GTCTTCCTTGGTTGTTCAAATTGGTGGCCCCGATTATGTTCCTTCCTACTTTCTCCGTTATGGCTTCCGCCTGGCCCAAGTCTTTCGAAAGCGGACTTCCTTTGATTTTGATCTTCTTGCCTGCGGGTTGTTGATCTGGCGGGTAGTCTCGATCGGGCTCTCTCTTCATGCGTTCTTGGGATCGTCGACCGGAGCAAGTTCTGGAGCTGTTCGTACTTCTCTCCGTGATGTGAAGTTGCCCTGAGTTCTTCTAATGCTTCTCGAATCTTATCGTAAGGCGTATTCACCGTGCGTCTTTCTTCGGCTTCTTGTTGTGATTTTCTTTTATCGTATTCAGCCAACTCTAACTCATGTCTGGTCCAGGAGCTTCTCTCTGTTTGCCTAAGCGGTGTTGGCGCCCTTGCTTCAACTTGTTTTTCCTTTCTCTAGCTTTGTCTCGACTCTCGGTTTCTCCATCGTAGCCTGGGCAAAGGGTGATATGTTGGACTCGATTCATCGATGACGACATCGGGTGCTTCAGGGGATTTAATGGTGACCGAGGGCGTCGAACCATGAGCACCTCCGTGCATGAGCCGTTCCATTATTGGTGTTAGTTTTCATCTTTGTCGGAGTTGTTGATGACTTGATGGGCGCCTCGATGTCGCAGATCGAGTCTCCTTCTTGGTAAGGTAGAATAGCTTTTGTTGTTGTGCCAACTAGTTGGGTTCCGCTATCTTCGAGAACGGAACACGGCGATGGATAATCTGATCTTGCGATGTTATCGTTAGCACGAGACCCTCCTGAGCTCCTGTCAGTGGTATCCCAAGCATTGGATTGAAAGACCTTTTGAACTGTCCCTGATAGGATTTTGTCGTGTTGTCGAGCCCAAATGGAAAAGAACTCGACCTTTTGAAAGAACTCTGAGGATAATCCGAGTTGTTTTGGGTTGTGCTCTGGAATCTTGCCAAAAAAGAACTCGGTTTCTTGAAAGCACTCGAATAAGACTTCACCTCGGACACGGAGCTTGAATTTGAGTCGGATGCGCGTAGCCGTGAAATCTTATTCGAATCGGGTATTATGAGCTGCGCGGATCTTCTGGTGAGCTGATCCGTCGTAGTTGTCGAAATAGGAAATTCTTCATGATGATCCGGATCTTTGAGGGGGTGGCTTTGAAGCCTGCCATAGTTGTCCGCCTCGCAGATCCATGAGTCGAAGATGAAAGTTAATCCCGTTGGGAAGATCATGTTATCGAGGTCCATCGAGCTCTCAGATGCAAAGTCGTCGAAAGCCCCTACCTGGCGTGCCAGCTGTCGATGTTTCACCACCGATAGCCTGCCACGGGGGTACCTGGGGCAGTATGTTTGGGCTTCGGCGTATGCTAAACTCGATGGTAAACGCAAGAGACAGTCGATTTATCCTGGTTCAGGCCCTCGATCGTAGATCGAGTAACGACCCTACGTCCAGTCGGCGTTGGCCTTTGCGTTGGATTGATTATGAAGTGTTATGTTGTACAATTGTCGTCCTCGTCTCTCAGGAGCCCTACCCTCCTTTATATAGTCAGGAGGCCAGAGTCCTAGTCGGTTTACAATGAGATTTCCTAGTAGGATTACTTAATAGTTCTACTACTAAGATTACATGGGAAGAATCCTAGTTGAACTAGATCTTCTCTCTCCCTTGCGGGGTATCCTGTGGGTCCCGCATCGATAGTACTAAGCTATCTCTTGTTACCGACAACAAGTTTGAAGTATGACATTCATTATTATTATAGCAACTACAGGTGTTCTTACTCCTAATGCTGATTTACGCTATATATGATAAAGCAAGGATAATGGCTACTCTATTTATCATTTTACTCTAGGGCTACAAAATTTACAGCAAGTACATAGTAATCTAGTGAGCCTACTGTAAAACTTTCATAGCCATATCTATCACAAATCTATCACAAAAATTCCTACAATTATTAATCTATATAATACTAAGCTCTCTAGTTTGAATTTATGAACATACCCTTGTCACAGTTAACTGTCATCTAAATACACTAACAGGTAGATGGTATTTTTGTGAACCTAACAAAATTGGTTTCACTATTTTTGGACATCTACAAGATTTACTATAATTTATCAAAGTTCAGCTACAAACTATATTGAATAAACATTTGTAATTATTTGAAAATTGAAAATAATTCACAGTCTTGCCCAACACGACGCTGCTAGGCCCTGACAAGGCGGGGCGCATGTCTGCAACCACAATAAACCAGCCCAGCGCGGCGACGCGACGGCCGGCCTAGGCGGAGCAATGGCGGAGGCCAACGCAGGCGACAGCCAGCCCGGTCGGCCGAAGCAGCATGTGTGACCCACCATGAGCGAGACCAGCGCCCGCAGACGGAGCTGCCCAATGCGGCAAGCGGACGCTGCTGGCCAGAGAGTGGCGGGCAGCGACGCAGCGCTGCCTTGAGCGGCAGCGTTAACGCATAAGCTTGACCAATGGCAACGGTGGCAAAGCAGCGGAGTGGGCGCTTAAGACCTGGCCCAATGAGCGACAGCCGGACCGAGCAGCAGCAGCGAGTCAGCCCAATGGGCGCTGGCGCTAAGCGTGAAGTAGAGCAGCGCGAGCCTTGAGGCGTAAGCAGCAGGGCGAGGCATGCTGGACTTGAAATGACAGAGCAGGGCGTATTTCTAATGTATTCAGGGATTTATTTTCCTACATGAAAGCGGCCCTAAAATGGGTGTGACGCAGGAATGACGCAGAGATGATGTCAACAAGCTAAGAGCAACAGCACGCACCGCCGACTGCTAGCTTGCTCTGCTTGCCTGCTCGAGCGCGGCGCGGTGGTGGTCGCCGGTGAACAGAGCACACCGGTGTGCTGTTCGCGGCGCTGCAACTGGCCCGACGCAGAAGGGCGCGAGGGTGAGGATGAACCGGCAGGCCCCGCAAAGCCCGCGCTGGAGGTCGCCCGGAGCCGCGAGGAGAACGCCCCACACAAGCTCACAGCAGGACGCTCGTCGGGACGACTTCCAATCAAAAGCTAACTATCCGAGCTCGCAGTGCGTACGGTTAATTGGAAAGATGTGGAGTATTGCGGGGCCAAATTGCCGAGGCGACGCCGTTCGGAAACTTAAAGCGGACGGCGATGACGAAAACTTGAATGGACGCCCCGACATCGTACTACCGCACAGTGGTGGGTTAGGCACCGAGCTGTACTCCCATCCGTCCTCCACGCGTGCGCGATAACAAGGATGGGCCAGCTCAGTGGTTTGGCCTTGGCGCGGCGCGGCCAGCCGGCCACCGTCCAAGACAACGTGACGACAAACTTTGCATGGCCTTGCGTGCAAACGTGAAAGCGAGAGCAAGTCCACACGCGTGCGGCGAACGTGTGGTTTCAGCAGTGGCGTACATGCAAGTTCCTAGCATGATAATCCAAGGCCGTGGTAAATACGGAAAGAAAGCAGTGAAGGCTACAGTACCATGCAAGCCTGTACGTGCAAAGCCAATATATACACAAGTCACAAGCTAGTTCAAAAGTATTGCTCGGCTAATTGATGGCCCAAAATGATTCTCGGCCCATTCACACCACGGCTCAAGAAGGCCCGAAACCCGAGTACAACACCAGCAAATAATTCTAAATCCCGTCAAAGCGCTCGAGTACACGCGAGTCGCGTGCCAGGCGCGGCAACAGCGGTGCGGTCTGGGCAGCGGTGTGTTCTATAGCCTTTTCGTTTAATAAAAATTCATTTAGGACACCAAGTGATACAACGTGACATGCAATGTAACATCCATTTCGTGTTTCAAATAAACGTTTTAAGTTTCATATATTGATTTATACCCTATATTACATACATGTACACATAAGTAAAATGTTCATGCAGCGTTTTAGCAAAAAGCTGTACAATGTAACACCGAGGGTGTTACACCCTGGCACCACATGACCACGTCACCTACTGTCAGGCTCGGGGACTAAGTGGGCATACTTCACCTTGCGGTGAATGTGCTTTTCTTATCTCAAAGCAACGACCGAGGACTGGCTGCCTGCTCGGCTGGTCTTCTACTTTTCTCCTATTTTGGACCCTGGCACCACATGACTGTGTTATCTACTGTCAGGCTCGGGGACTAAGTGGGCACACTTCACATTGCGGTGAATGTGTTTGCTTTATTCTGAAAGACTCCGCGCCTCTGGAAGCTGAAGAATACTTTCTTCCTTTCTCGTGGTCGGACTCTAAGTGGGCACACTTGGTTCACTGCGATTTTTTTTATTCTGAACTTGAGCTCCTTACACCCTTATGGCAAGCCGTACTTGGGTTGTACTGCTCGGCGACGGCTCACGCTGCTCGGCGACGGTTCACGCTGCTCGGCAACTGCTCACAACTGCTCGGCAACTCACCACGGTGGTCGGACCATGAGTTTGACTGTTCGGCTTTGTTCGTACCTGCTCGGACAAGCTCAAGACGACGTTGCACAACGGGTACAAGGCGCTCGGGGACTAGCTGTGGGGGGTACGACCCCGGATACCCACGGTAGACCACATGGGCTGCGCCCCCCGGGACGGTCCAGCCCACAAGACGAAGCCTTGCGGGGCATGACTCTGCTCGATGTCTCTCGCAAGACACTGGGAAGATATCCTGAAGATGCTATGAGATCTGTTATGATATGTATGATCCCATGATTCCTGTAATCTGTTATTACTTTCCGGTTATCTCTCTGATCTAACCGACTTGTAATCCTGCCTCCGGACTATATAAGGCGGGTAGGGACCCCCTCCAAACACACATAATATCATACGATAGCTAATACAAACCAACAGACCATAGGAGTAGGGTATTACGTCATACTGACGGCCTGAACCTGTCTAACTCGTGTGTCTCTGTTGCCTTCTTATTCTTGATTACACGCCTTTCTGTCGATCAATCTACCTTCGTGGGATACCTCTCGAAGGACTGCCGATAATATTCTGTCGACATTTACACACAAAGAACATTCTCACTGTATCTGTGTTTATTCATAGTATTGGTGTTTATGTATTTCAGAGGCTATCTGAATTCCTGGATCCTGAGATCAAGAGATGGTCAAATGAAAAGGAAGGAAATCTGAGGGCCTTGCTATCCACATTGCAATACGTAAGCAGTTAAATTTCATGCATCTTTAAATCCGTAGCGTAGAACATGTAAAAGGTTATGATCTGTTGCTTTGTTTTCCCTGGCAGATTCTTTTGTGCTGATAGTGGCTGGCAACCAGTGCCGTTTACAGATCTCATTACAGCTGTTGCTGTGAATAAAGCTTACAGGAAGGCAACCCTTTGTGTCCATCCAGATAAATTACAGCAAAGGGGTGCTACAATCAGACAGAAATACATCTGTGAGAAGGTTTTTGATCTTCTTAAGGTATGTGCTCTGTCCACATTGAATGCTCTGGTCATTTGGATGTTGGAACTCCATTAGAGCAACCCTCTCTATTTATGGTTGCATTTCCGGAGTCCACTTTTCTTTCTCTTGTGAGTACTTTGTTTACAGAACTTTGGTTTCTGATTTTTCAAACTTTCTGGGAATGTCCTAGATAATTATGCTAGATAATTTCCTGCGCTTCTGCACAAGTCATTCCCTTTTTCTAACTTAAGGAGACGCTGGTATGCCCCTTGTGTCTTACCTATTAACCACAACAAACTGAAAAATGCACGCACATTCACGGAGGCAATTGCAAAAAACTTTTACAGGTAAACAGACACTTGATGCACATTTTTGCACTGTTGGAACTTTGTTCGAAAACTTTCATTGCCTGCAAACCAACTATTTTTTTATTGGTGAAATGCTGCTGCAAAAACTTCATTTCTGGATAGGCGGCCTTTCCCTCTTCACACTCTTATCTGTGCCATGTGATGATTCAATATCAGAAAATGAAGCGGGGAAAAAGGAGAGGAGCTTTGCTCACCTGCTGCCACCTATTTTTGCAGGATGCTTGGAACAAGTTCACATCAGAGGAGCGCTAGGGTGGAAGGAAGCTAAGCGGCCGCTTATTTTGAGGCAGGCGATTTGTTATTAGTATATTTATATAGCAAAACATCGTTAGTTTCTTCATTCAAAATTGATGTAAATATGCAGTTGTAGCCCTAGATATCCGTGTCAGAAACAGCGCAAATGATGCTGGTTATTACCTTAAGTCCTAAGTCTCCAGCTCGTGCAATCCGCTGAGTAGCAGCTGCGGCAGCAAGCCCCCGATGCTTTCACCTACCCGACGACAATGCCCGGTCCGTGGTCGTCGTCGCCAAATCTTTGTTGTCGGATTAGGTCCAATTACAGGTTGAAAGTTATAGCTCGCTTCTACGGCTCTACTCAATGCATTGGTAGAATCAGTTTTTTTTTTTGACAGATCGGATCGGATTAGTTAGGTCGGATAGCCCATGATCAGATTTAGATCCTTCCGGTAGAGCTTTAGCTCGTTAGGGATGACTGTGACACAATTGGTCCGTCGGACGGAAATAGCTGGCTCTTCTAGCTCGATCCCGTGCCTGTCTGCCTGAGGACGTCGGACGTGCCAGACTGCTTGTGTGACCACTGACAAGGTTTGTCATGGCCGGAAACCTGTCGTAGGTTGCCAGGATTGTGCGTCTAGTATGGACGTAGTGGGGTGAGCAAGTTGTGGCACACCTAGGCTAGCTACCTTCCGCTTGTTGAACTTGGAGTTCCCTTTTGTTTGTGTCCCTGTTGCACTGCTGCCTCCGTCCGAAAAAGATAACATTTCCATCTTTAATAAAAAACAAACTATTTAAAATTTAATCAAATTTATAAAAGAGTATATTTGTTAGGATGGTTCAGCTTCGGTTGTGTTAGTTCGATCTCCTTCGGCCCTCGATAGAAGCGCGTTGTATGTTTGTTTAAACTCTTTTACTTAATACAATGATACGCAAATCTTTTGCGTATTCTAGAAAAAAAATAAAAGAGTATATTTATGATATCAATGTTAAATTACTTTAACTAAAATATGGCCCATGTAAATAATAGTAACAATTCTTATTATTATAAATGTCTTAGTGTGATGGTTGCTAGACTTAAAGAAAATAAGAATTATGTGTTGAAAAAAATACCCTCTCCACTCCCTTTCCTTACCTTTTTCAAGAGAATTATTGCATGTGCACGATGCTAGCTATTCACTTTGAGTTGAATGGTAATTAAGCAAAAACATGCATGCGTTTATGGCTATTCACTTGGAGTGGTAATTAAGGTGAGTGTTAAGCCAAGTAACTTATGCATAATAAGTGACAGTAAAAGGCATGAATACTGCTTGAAATGTCATGCATACCTCTCACATTTAAGCATGGGCTAGCATGAGTATATATGATGGTCCAATGTTAGAAAAGTAAAAGATAACACACATGAAAGTAGACTAGTTCTTTTATCATCAAGAGAATAAAAAATGTAAGAAGGAAGTGGGGAGAGAAATATTTTCAAGATGCAAAAGTAAACGTGCATGATGAGTTTGTGTTATTTGGCACATGAATAGTCTATTTGTGCCACACACATATCAAAGGTGTCTATTTTGATTGAATTAATTGTTGCTAATGCGATCTTTAAGCTTCCACGAATTGGTTTTTATGTTTAATCTCAAAAATAAAAGAATTGGTTTTTATGTTAACAATCAAATAAGTGATATTATTAAAATATATTCTATGACCATGGTTCTAATTTGATATTATAAATACTGATTTTTTTATAACCAAATCTGATCAAATTCAAGACGGTTTGAGTTTTTTTTTAACTTGGGTAGTGATTCCATTACTCATGAACCGACAAATCGTCAGCAACTATTACATCAATGTGCGCCGGGAGAGAGCTCATAATTTGTTCAGACCCTTGCTCACATTCGTCATAGATGTGCAAGTGTGACGTGACTTCTATGACGAACCGTTTTTCGCTATAAAACTGAAATTATGACGAATTTGGTTCCTTCAATGACGAAATCTATTCGTCGTAGAAGTGGATATTTCTAGTAGTGTTCGCTTCGTTTTTGAGTGGAGGATTTTGATATCGGCAGCAAGTTCAGTATCTCAGCTGCATAGGTTCTTATGTTCTGTTCGATCACTCCTGCCGGTCTCCTCTTTCCTTCTTCTCTGATCTTGTTTCTTTCTGACCACCATAATCAACTTCTTCTGCTCTGCCGCCTGTAAAATGAACTCTACGGTATCACTGGCTGATTGCAGTTCCGCCAAAGCCACTCTCTCCGGTTCTTGATTCAGGAGAGACCAGACTTGTCTAACAGTCTTGCATTTGAAGAAAAGGTGTGCCCCGTCCTCATCAACCCGATTGCATACTAGACATTTTGTATCAATGCGCATACCAGTTGATCCTACGCTAGAACAATATTCTTTTTCCAAATAGAAGGATCGTGAGTTCGTGACGGCAAGTCATTGATCACAAATCATCAGCCACGTTTCCATAACAAACAGACTCATGAGTCATGGATTGACTCATCAAGAAAAATGTGTACAATTAATATGTACGCCACAAACTGCTCGGTAGACCAGATTCTGATTGTTTCCCAGCGTTGTACTTGGACCAGAGTGAGAGCTCAAACCACCCTTGTGGTGTCTACAGGAGTACCCAAATCCCAAAGATTTGGTTTAGAAAAATATTACATCTGCACTAAATTTCTCCTGAGTACGAAGCCTATATTTAGACTTGTGCTGAGTCATGTTTTTTTACCTTTTATTAATCATAAATATCTATCTATATAAAGCGATAGCATTATCAGCATAAAGATTAGCATTACTAAATTCATTTATGAGAAATATATTTATAGTATATTATCAGTTTCTAGATTTATTTAAGATAGTACTCCTACATCTCTATACTCCGTAGATGTTATGCATGCAATGAATGCGCTCCGGCCTCGTCTTCCGCGGAGCACGTCAATACGTCATCGTCTCCGAGTCCGATTCCAATTTCCAAACGCAGCCATCGCCCTGGCGGCAGCCGATTTGTTGCCCTATATGTTCGTCCTGGATCCTGACCGTAACCATTCCGACTCCAGCATCGCTGTCTTCTCGTGCCCCACGCCGCCACGCTCGCCTGGCTCGATCACCGCCCCGTCGTAGTTCTCCGATCCTCGCCACCGGTTTGCAATGCTCGCCAAGCGCGCCGCCGCCATCTGCGTCTTGCTCGACAGCGACGACGACGACCCCTCCGGCGCGGGGGCGGGGTGGTGCAAGCGGCGGCGCCTCTGGACCACGGCGGACTACGAGGCGACGCGGGCGCTCGGGGAGGGCAGCTTCGGCGCCGTCGTCGAGGCGCGCCACCGCGCCACGGGCCAGGCCGTCGCCGTGAAGGCACTCCGCGCGCCAGCGACACCAGCGACTGCAGCGCCCGCTGGTGGTGGGGCGGCGGCGGAGGCCAAAGCTAGCGCGGACGCCGTCGCCGACGAGGCGCTGCGGGAGGCCGAGTTCCTCGCGGCGTGCCGCGGCCACCCGTCCCTGGTCGGCCTGCACGCGATCGCCATGAACCCCGGCACGAGCGAGGTCGCGCTCGTGATGGAGTGCGTCGGGCCCAACCTCCACGACGTACTCAACGGCAGCCGCCACCGCGCCGGCCGCCCGTTCCCGGAGCCGCAAGTGCGGCGCATCATGCGGCAGCTCCTGGCCGGGGCCAAGCACATGCACGCGCGCCGGATCATGCACCGCGACATCAAGCCCGGGAACATCCTTGTCGGCGCCGGCGGCGATGGCCGCGAGCCCGTCTCCGTTAAGATATGCGACCTCGGGCTCGCCGCCTCGATCACCGACCAGCCGCCGTACGAGCTGGCCGGCACGCGCCGGTACATGGCACCGGAGATGCTCCTGGGGAAGCTCGACTACGACGCCATGGTGGACATGTGGTCGCTTGGCTGCGTCATGGCGGAGCTCCTCACCGGGAAGCCGCTCTTCTACGGGGAGAACGACAGTGAGGTGCTCCGCCGGATATTCAGCGTGCTTGGCGTGCCGGGGCAGAGGACGTGGCCCGCATTCAAGTCCCTCCCGCTCGCCGGCACGGTGGTCCTGCCGCCCGTCCGCCACCGCAACCGGCTGCGGCAGCTGTTGCCCAAGGAGCGCCTGTCCGCGGATGGATTCGACGTCCTGAAGCGTCTCCTCTCCTGCAACGCCGACAAGAGGCCGTCGGCGTCGACCGCACTCCGCAGCCCGTGGTTCACCAAAGACATCGATTCTACGGCTTCAGTTTCTCCTGCTGCTGCTGCAAAGATGGTTCAATGATCTGAAGCAGACGATGGTGTAATGTCAATTATCTGAAACAGAAGATGGTGTAGTGTCAATTATCTGAAACAGAAGATGGTGTAATGTATTATTATAGTGTATCTGTTATGAGGTGTTATCCCTGTTTGTGACGTGCATGCTTTTGTGGTTAGGTTACTTGTAGTGACTAATGTAACTTGTCCACCTGCATTAAGTCAGGTGCTTGTATTTTTTAGATTTATTTATTCTTAGGATTTATAACAACATTTTTTTTAAGTCTCGAAAGACAACTATGAATATCTATGGACTTATTTTAAGACAACATGTATCATTTCAAACACCGGGAGCTCTGAAGTTAGGCCTATAGAATGGGGCTAGGGTTTAGTGTTAAGGTTCACAAGAATTGGGCGGTTTTATAGAGTGATCCCAAGAATGATGGGTTTTGCCTAGCAAACTCTAAGGCCTTCTTTGAGAGAGCTATGGAGGAGCCAATTGTGTGGCTCCTCCAAAATGGCTCTGACTCTTCTTTTCATAGAAAAACGACTCTAAACGGCTCCTCCAGCTAAACCAAACCGTTTGATAGGACCCCTCCGGAAGAGTGAAGCCAAAGAGAAGTCCTATCAAACAGGCACAGTCGAAACCCAATGAAGACAATAGGTTGTAACGGGCACTAGAGGCATGCTCTATATCAACAGCAATCATAAATAGCCCTAGTTCATATCACGAATAATCCCTTAGACTAAGAACATTACTCATGCAACATTACAGCAAACATTTGTACATGTACATGTACATGATGGAGAACCGGAGACGGTGAATAATACACCATCTGATTATGCTCTAGGACCAAAATAAAAAAGAAGATATTACAAAACAAATGAATATTAGCAATAGGAATAATTTAAGAGTGTCACCATAAGACCATTACGCAATTGAAAATAAACCATAAAATATAGATGAAAAAAAGTGCTGCATACATGAGAACATAAAGAAAAGAATAATGAACTAGCTTATAGGCAACTAACAGGAGAGGAAAGAATTAGGCCCACAAAGCATCGTACGCTGGCCCACCAAAGCAGCTTTCCTGAACTGTGAGCGGCCTGTGCCCACGGCGGAGGGGGGCTGGGCCGCGCTGGTAAACAGAGGAATTCGATTTGATTGTCAGTCCAAGAACAGCACAGTCAACCCCTCTAGGACCGAATGCTGGACCAGAACCTCACACAACAAAACAACTGAACAATCGAAAAGCTTAACAGTCGGCACTTTTCCCTAATTTTCTTCCTACAGAGAAGAACCGGATTTTCTTGATTGCAGCCCCACACCCACCCCACCCCTGGCTTCTTCAATCTTCAAAATGCCTTCTTGCTCTGTCTGAAAATCCACAAGAATGCAACTGAGAGACTGACCACAGAACTACAAAAACAAGGATTTGGAAATCTTACAAAATTATCTGCTACCTGAAACGTTCTCTAGGAACTTATTCTGAAAGAGGCTTCCGAGCAAGGAAGAAGTACATTGGTGTGAAGATCTCCTTCCTGTAGTTATTTATACAACAGTAAGTAAACAATCGGAATGATACAATGAAAATGTAGAGGATAGTACTGGCGATTCTGCTTTCTGGTTCAGAAAAAACCGACTTACTTCCCACCCTCTACAAGACCTTCTGCAGCCTTCTCTAGGAAATTGGAGACCCTCTCACTGCCTTGTGGGGCAAGACCAATGTATTCCAATGCCTTGACCTGAAAAATATCAACAAGAGACTCAGATGCCCATTCAACAAAGCTTTCACTATCCCCTAAATGTCAGTTGTCATCCAAACATGGAGAATGATAACTTATTTGATCGTTAAGAACAAATCGGATAGTACAAGTAACAATTGAAGTATCCAAAAATGAAATAAACTATTTATTGGCCTCACCATAGTGTGAGTAATCATGCGTCCCACAGATGTCAAACGGAAGCTACTCACGGAAAATCGGCTCGGATCCAAGGGCAAGTACCAGGGCAAGGGGGAATCCTCAGCTAGATCCTTATCCCAAACAACCTGAATGAAAAAAATGACTTACACACCTACACAGGTAAGCTATAAAACTACAATATATCAATCTGAAAGAAAAAAAAAAGAACAGTAGTATATTGCTTTGTCAATGGTGTATTTACCCCTATGTGAAATGTAAAGAACATGATCATAAAAAGGGGAAACATAGTCTATCTTACCTCAAAACCGGCATCTTTGACTGCCTGAAGACATTGCCTAGTGCTTCTGATATCTGGCAGGCCATTGCCAAGCTCAATTTCATCTTTAATCCTTTTATGGGTTGCGTTGTTTGGATCATAGTGATCAGTAATGCACCACTCATATACAGCGAAGCACTGGCCAGGCTTCAACACACGGTATATCTCCTTATAGCAGCCAACCTTTGCAACAAAAATACTAATTTAGTTTTCCATTAGAAAAAGATATCAAGATTGATGAAAAATCTTACTACAGAAATGACAATTTTATTAGCAATTTAAATCTTATTACTGGATCAGGTGCATGACATGTCGCCTCAATTGCATAAACAGAATCAAAGGTGTTATCATCAAATGGCATCTTCATGAAGTCTGCCTGCATTAGAGAAATATGAGCATTGTCCTTTAGCTTAACGGTAACTCAAATAACTCCACCAACAGGCAACCTTCTGTTAAAAAAGAACAGCATCTTAACTTATATAGAAGAACATGGAAAAATGTGGACAGTATTCTAAGCTCCATCTAAAAGCATCAACCTTGCAACTTCTTTATACAGCCATGCAAATGCATAGAACTGTTAGCATAATAAGATTTGCAATTTTGCAGAAAAAGGTCATTAATTACTTTATTATTTTCAACAGCAAAGCAATTGCAAAAAGGATACATACAAGAGTAGCAAGCACATACAAGAGCTAAACCAAGAAAGCAATGTGGCCTAGTCGATAGGCCAACTATACCTTGACAAAATCGCAGGTTCCACTAACTCCTGCCAACCGATTGAGCTCCTGAACATCAAAGTGTTGTGTTAGCATAAGAGCAACATGATAACTAGTGCATCAATGAAAGGTGGTAGTTTAAAAATGTGGTTTCAAAGAACCTTTCCCCTGGTTATCTGGTATTCATTGTTATTCAATCCAGTAACTGAAGTTGAGCTGCATGAAAACCATTTGCATGATTCAGTTAGCCGTGGGGCTTTAACAGAAAATGAATCAAATACTGAAATGAAAGAAGGCAGTGCTCTAAATAAACAAAGAGTGAAGGTGCCATCCCTCCAAAGCAAATCGACCACAAGTGCCAAATTTTAACTGATAAAGATTAATCAATTCTAATGCATTGGTCAGTTTGTTAAAAGGCTATAGCCAAGGACATCACATTCACCAGCATCAAAGAACTTTAACTTGAGAATCTGACCTAAATCTTGCAATTTCTCTCAGCGGTCCACCTATTCCGCAGCCCACATCCAAAACCTACAGTTAAAAAAAAAAGGAAAGCACACATCCTCTAGTCATGCAAGAGCAGAAAAAACAATTCACAGACAGATTTCAATAGGAGAACTGACCTTCATTCCTGGTTTCAAGCCAAGCTGCAGGGCAAGAAAATGCTCATGACGCTTGATGCTTTCACGTAAGGATTCTCCATTCCATCTAACATAATCAGCATAGTTAAATTACCATGAACCACTGGTGAGCATAACCTATGTTACCTTTTTTTAGAGTAGGCACTAAAACACTTATTCATTCTGAAAAATCGAAGGCCAACATATAATTTTTCTGCAAGGGAGTTCTCTCTTTAAGTAGAAAGAGAGGTTCTGCAAGGACTTCTCACCTGTGAGCAAAGTGGAAGGATTCACCCCAACCATACTCATAGAAGCTAGTGGCAAGATCATAATATTTGTTAACCTAATAAATCAGGAAAAAAAATCAGCTGCTGATATTTATCTAACTCCAGTATATAAAACACTATGAAATAAATAGCCTCTCATAGTCTCACTCCAATGCTGTTATCATTCATCCTAAGGTCATGCAGAACAAAAAAACAGTTTCAGCACCATGGATCAGTTAATACTTAATAGAGTGATGTGTTCTGCCAATACTTCACATTATTTTTAGAATAACATCTATCCTCAAGGCAATCTAGTTGAGCAGAATTGCAAGCACGCAAACCTTTAGCTTAGCAGGTGCAGTTTATCTAAAAAGCCACAGTACAACTAGAATAAGGGGCATCAAATTTGTAAAAACCAAAAGGTCTCTTTGAAAGGTCCTATTACCATATCAGTGTAGTTGGACTTTCTTGCTTCCTCCTTCCCTCCATAATATCCATGATATTTCTCATACCTTGAAAAATAATTTTAAAATAAAATCAGAGTAAAATAAACACAATTACTAGACAGATATTTCTTTGAAAGGGAAGGGACATGATATGAACCAGGATGCTAGTTCCATTCAGCAGATTCTACAGTATGTTTCATCCAAAGGTCAAAAATGAATATTTTGATGCTCCTTAATGGTATCTACTGCATGAAAGGACAGGTTGACAACTTAACCGGACATGTGGAGATCTAAGTTGAGCTAACACTGCACCAGAAGATAAGCTAAGATCTTGGGTTATACGGTTTCTGCAGTACAGTACTATATGAATGAAACGGTTTGCATGGCCAGTACTAGACTAGGAGAAAGATAGTGACATCCTGGTCATACAACCTCAGATGCACATTTATTAGTCCAACCACTAAACATGAGAATAGGTAACGATCCCGTACACCGTACAGGTCAAGGGCAACATAGACATCAAGTACTAGTTGGTGAGCTGTGGCACAAAGCACGCCGGTTCTTGATTCAGAAAGCCCACATCTAAAAAATAAATGAAAATCATCTAAACAACTATCCTACAAAACATAAAAACAGAAGGCAATGGCGCAAGCGAACTAGTACTACATTGATGCTTGGAAATGTAAGTCCACAGAACAGAAAGCAGCTGCAATTATATATGGCCTGAAGTACAGTCAA